GAATTTTGGGGGAAATTCCCAAATTTTTGGTGAAAATTTTTGCATTTTTGAATATCTGAGAGATATAACTGTAGGTCCATATGCTCAGGATATATTTTTAAATGGAATATTGATACCCATCAGCTGCTTGAGAAAGGTTCTGCTCCGTTGATTGATAATAAAATATGCTGTTCACAGATCATATCCTGTTCTATTATGAAATTAATTTTACTTCTAAATTAGGATTAGCAGCCTCTGTTTTGTTTTCTTGTTTACATTTTCGACAATAAACAAAATTTCTTGTGTCCTTAAAGAGAGGATGGATTTCTGATTAACTGAAAATTATTAGGTTTGTCTGTAATTAAATGTAAAAATAATTAAATATTCCTTTCAGAAGCCAATAACTTCTGCAGTATATTCCTCCTAATGGGGTCTGAAGTAAAGTGTCAAGAGTCCCACAGAACACATTGTAAAATGGGAACAGGGTAAAGGTCATTCCACCTGCTGTGGCAACACTAAAACTGCTGTGTGGACCTAACTGAAATATAATAAAAAAGAAGTTTAGGACAAGAAGTTGAAAACAATGCTGAGGTAGAGTATTCACCTTTTATTCTTGGAGGCATCTGCAAACAGTCACCCAAAAGAATGAATAGAATTAAAAATATTTAATGGACACCCAAAGATTCAGCTACATGACTTACATTGAGAACTGCTGTCTTCAGAGCTATTAGAAAGAAAGAAAAAGTTCTCAAGGTGTTTCATATGGATGATTATAAAACTCAGAATCCATTATACATAGTATTAATTGCAGTACTTTTATTTTGTTGCAATTGTTTCTGTTGCAGTAGTTTCTGAAGTGAAAATACATCCCAAATATTTGGTTTTTATCTTTCCCAGTCCATACTGCAGTGAATTGGTTTGCATTTTGACTATCAGAAGCTTTCTTCCACAGGACTGTGACACCCATGTGTTTGGAGGTTTGCTGAAGAATTCACTGCCAAGCAGGGTTTTACATCTTCAAGAGTGATCAGATATTAGTTTGACTGTGTGTGGAAATGTGCAGTAAATCAGTGATGGATTTTTCCATCTGTCTTTCATAAAACCCAAAAGTGGTTGTCTAATGTAAGCCAGAACACCAGAAAAAGAATTATACTGTCATATATTTAAAAAGGCCTTAGCAGAGTTATGAAATAAATAAATAGCATGTTGATCTCAATAAAATGAATTGCTCTAACTGTTTTAGTCAGAGGATTCTTTTACTTGGCTAATGAATTTCTTGAAATAAGAGATTGTCTTGTGGCACCTAATTGTGTGCTGTGTTTGCTGCAGGGTTTAGAAGCTGCAGAGGAATGATTCAGTCTGGGGGTCAGCAGGTCCCCCAAGGTGCTGCAGGTAAATCCAGGTTCCTTCCTTCCCACCTGTGATCCATGCAGTGAAGCAGGAGCTGAAATAACTGCTCAGAAACACTGGAGCTCCAAGGGGAGTCCTCTGAACCGAGTTGTGCTGGTTTAAATATATTGATTCTGTCACCATAGGACAGATCTAACCTATTTTCTTCACTTTCTCTCTGCTCATTTCTGTATTTATCTTTATAAAGAGTGAGAGTTAAATAGATCTCTTGATGTTAAACACTGTGTACTTCTATTAGTATTGCATAAGTGATTACAGATTAAAACAATAAATTGCTCACACAGGAATTTACTGGGCATCTTTTGGACAGGTTAGCT